GCTGACAAATGACTAGTAGTCTCTTAACTTAAAATGAATAAAGATAAAAGGATAGATTTAAAATTAAGCTGTGAGAAACAATGTCATGCTTTCACACGCTATTTTCTTTTTTTTTTTTTTTCGTTAGTTATTATGTTTATCTCATAATACCGATAGTTGATCAAACGTTTTTTATTTTACATTAGAGTGTCACAGTGTACTGATTTTCTTTTGCATATTGAGGTTAATAGAAAATTAAAAAAAAAGAAAAGAAAATGCTGTTAAAAAGATTTTTCATGTATGTGATTAAGTTGTTTCATCTTTGCAAAAGAAATAAATAATCTCTTGTTGCGTTTCTGAAATACATTGACTTTCCAGAAATGCCTCTTTTTTTTATTTCCTTAATCTGAAAATGCATACTTAATTGCAATTATAATGACTATTTCTCTGTTTATATGAAGAACACTTCAAAAAAAAAGTTACTTATTCTGCGCATCAATTGACAACATAGGAGCTTTATTGTATTGTGAAGAAATTAAATGGATATAAAAAAAGAAAGAAATAAATTTTCTTAATGTCAATCCAATGATGATTTTATAATCTATGAAGTGCAAAAATATTCTCGATTGATAACTTTCCTTCAAATTTATATCGAGCTATTAGATGAAGTTTATGATACAAATAAAATTTCTAAAAGCAATATATGAGAAATTCAAATGAAATATGAATACTTTACAGAAAGTTATTAATAAAAATTAAACAAAATAGAACTTTGATTGACATCATGACAATTAACTTATCAATAAATCGATTTGTTATTTTTTTCATGACGTACATCTGATGTGTAATTTCAAGTAATTTTTTTTTTGATACTCTAGAACTATTCTTTGATATGATTAGGATGAAACTCAATATATATCAAAATAAAAATAGTAACGATAATGAGATTCAAAGCATGACGATTGTAATAAAGCTTTCCAAAAATCCTCAAAACAGCGAGAGAAAGTATAACAAAATTTCGTTTATAAATGTAGTGATGTGAATTCAATGAAAAATGTTTTCAACATATTTGAAAACAATTTTCAATTCAGTCATTTAATTATCAGTTGTATAAGAATGTATTATGCTTCTTTGCTCTGAAATTTGCTAGGTTCTATAATAAATTGTATAAAAATTGCGCTAAATCTAATATATAATTGATTATTTCATTTCATTATTTAAATTAAATGGCAAAAATAGAAAATTCTGAAACAAAAGTAAATACTCATCATTCATCATCAAGTCTTTGGTCAAATTGTCGACCTGATATTCAACGTCGAATAAATGCTTTACTTAATTATCAAGTAGAATATTTTCGATTACGTGTTGAATTTTATCGACAACTTCAAGATTTACAATATGCATATAATCCTGAATTTGAACAGATTTTAGCAAGACAACGAGCAATCATTGATGGTTCATGTGAACCAATAGAACTTGAAAACCAAATGAATAAATCAATTATATCGAATTCAACATTAGAATCTAATTTAAATCAATCGAGTTCACAAACATATGAACAAATATCAACTCAAAATATATTTCCAAACAGTCAATCTAATTTACCTAATAAAGGTCTAGCAAATTTCTGGTTAACAGTTCTTAAAAATATTGATTCTTATGATTATCCTATTCAACGACGAGATGAACTTTGTTTAAAATATCTTATTGATATTCGTTGTATTCTTAATCCACCGAATGTTGATTCTACAAGTTTTATTCTTGAATTTCATTTTTTACCAACAAATCCATTTTTTAATGAAACAATTCTTACGAAACAATATTCAATTCGATATGAATTAAATAATTCAAATCCATATCGATCTTATGATGGACCAGAAGTTGATCATTGTTATGGTTGTTTAATTACATGGAAACCTGATCATAATCTTACGATTCGTAAACGTACAAAACGAATACGAAGTAAAACTACAGGACAAATTCGATTTGTACAAATTGAAGAATCGATTAAATCTTTTTTTGATTTTTTTTCACCACCAATTATTTCTGCTAATGGTATTCATGAAATGAACAATGAAGATCAAATACGTTTAGAAGCTGATATTGAATTTGGTCTATTATTAAAACAACGTGTATTACCAAGAGCTGTTCTCTATTATACGGGTGAAGCATTAGCTGTATTTCATGAGGAAGAAGAAGATGATGATCAATTGTCTTCATCCGATAGTTCTTAATAACTTTATTTAGTTAAATTTGAATGAATATAGAAAAATTTCTCTTATTAAACTACTCAATAATGTTTAAAATCAACATAAATTCTTTAGCATTGAGTAAACTGTTAGAAATATATTCATTGTCTATTTATTTTATTGAAAATTTATCGTTACATATAACTATGTAATTAATTTTTATATTCATCAATTTCAATCGAAAACATGATCAAAGATTACATAGGTTGAAGCCATGAAGTCAAGAAATAAGGATTCATAAATGTTACCGATAAGATTTTTGTTAATTTGAGTATGAATTAGATATACGTCTTGTTCTTATTAAAAATACTCATCGTGACAATATTAACAAACATATATTATATATTATTAATTTTACGTGACAGTTTGTGAAAATGTAGTCAATTTGCATCAACGCATCTTCTGGAATTGATTAGATGTTTTTTCAGGCTTTCTGCGGAAATTCAATTAGATACTAGTATATGAAATATAGGATGGCAGTATGATTGCGTGTGTTCATGAAATATCTGCAATATTTTCTATATCTTTAATATCATTATAACTCCAATCTATCTCACATCTCTTGTACAAAAGTTTTCTCATTCGAGAAATAACGGGTGCAGCAAACGTTCTGCATTACCTTTAGTTTTAATATAACATTGCAATACAATATTATAGAGATTTGAAGATATTTTATTTTGTTAGAAAGGTGTTCTGCAATTTCGTTCACAATTTTTATTTTCAAACAGATTTTTTTTGACTTTTTTCATTATTGACTTATAGGATATTTTTCCAGTATCAGATGCATACGACTGTTTATTAAAACAATGATGATTTTCATCTGATATTAAAATAATTGATCTAAGATATAATTTAATTAAAAAGCCCACTTTCGACGTCTATGAATGAAAAACAAAGTTTTTATTTAAGCACCTCAAAGAGAAGCTGTGCTCTATGACATCTCTCTAGATCAAAAGGCAATTTTGAACTATACGAATATAAAGTCGTCCTATACTAGTATGTTGAGACAATGTTACAACAGCTGTAACTATCAAGGAAATAATCGTCCGTTTTGATCTCTTCCATACTAGGAAGATTACTACAGATATTACTAGCTCATTCTAGTTCATAATATTTATCAATCTGATTAATGAATTAAATCGTGATAATTATTATTACTCGCATGCTTTACTTGAAAATAAACTATTATCGAAAAATCATTAACAACATTTAAGATCTAAAGATAATAACGAAGATAAAGAGAAAAAAAGACACTATTTCTGCTAGTAATAGTCACATTGTCAGAAATAGAGTAATGCAGGTTGAGATATTTTTCTTACCTTGTACACTGACTGACGTTAGTTAGTCAAATCAAAATAGGAACTCAAATTCTTTTAGAGTTCTCTTAGAACACTATGTAGTATCTATCGAAAAAAAAAATATACAATACATTCTCTGTTACTTTTAATTATACAAGATACTTGTTCTCAGGGGCGGCGCGACGGGGGGGGGGATAGGGGGGTCACCCCCCTCCTGCTCCAGAAAATTTTGGCTGGTACTTTCTCCGATTTTGGGGAATTTACTACGATAATTTCTCCGATTTTGGAGAATTTAAAAAGCAATTTTCTCCGATTTTGGAGAAATATACTTGATAGTTTTCTCTCAATTCGCAGAAAATTCAAGTTTAATGGGCATTTTTAGGCAATTTTCTCCGATTTTCGAGAAATATATTACACAAATTTCCCAAAAACCGGAGAAAATTCAAGTTTGGAGATCATTTTTAGGCAATTTTCTCCGATTTTCGAGAAATATATTACACAAATTTCCCAAAAACCGGAGAAAAATTTTTAATAGTTTCCTCCAAGCTTGGATTTTCTTCGATTTTGCAGAAACGTGTATAATATATTCCTCCAAAATCGGAGAAAATCGCCCAAAAATGTTCTCCAAACTTGAATTTTCTGCGAATTTATACAATAGTGTTGAATATATTTCTATGAATCCGGAAAAATCCAATTTTGAACAAAAATGAGTAGACGATTTTCTCCGATTTTGGAGAAGTATATTATAAAATTCTGACTCGGAGAAAACTTCAGTTTAGAGAACACTTTTTGACTTTCTCCGATTTTAGGACTGCCCCCCCCTGCTCCGACCTCTTCGCGCCGCCCCTGCTTGTTCTTCATAGTACGCTTAGGTCATGCTTGATAATAAGTGCATTGCTACAAAAAATATCACTGTCAGTGACAGATAATTATGAGATGTAAAAACAAACAGATCTCCTACAACCATAGAACGCTTTAGAAGAATTTGTTTGAATCAAAAATTTCTGAAATTTTTATCATAGAATTTTACTTTATCGTAATCACTTATCTTTTTTTTGCTCTCATGGTATTATTGATAGTATTACCGAGTTGTTCTTGTTCTTCTTTCTGTTCACGTAAGATTGTATGTTAAGTACAAACCATCTTACCTGTAAAATGATTGTGTTTATTCAGAAATGATCCTTTTTTTCTCTAACATCGTTTATCTTTGCAATAATCTTCAGAAGAATACGACAGTTCTTTGTATAATTATACTAGTCTTTGCTTTCTTCACTTTACATAGAACCAAAAATAAAAATAAAAATAAAAGAAAATACTCGCGTAGGTTTATATATATATATACTAGATAAAAATATTCAAGAAAAAAACTGTTCTTTTGTATAATGGAAAAACCTCTTTCAACAAAGTGAAAAACACAAATTAAGTAAAAAAAGAAAACACCAAAGATTCACTGTTACTCTATATATCATATGATTTAGTCTTCGAATTGCATAGTTGCAATTTTTTCACATGGTTTTCCGCTTGTATTTGCTGGTAGGTCATCAACAGCATGTTGTATTTCAGAATATAATGAAAAATCCACTTTTTGATGTAACATACGCTCATTTTGTTCCTCTAATAATTTATTATGATCTAATTGTTGATGACGATGTTCTTCGACATTTTTAAGCCAAGAAAATATACGCAATAATTTTGGATGATCTATATCATATTCAATGTGTGCATCGTCTAATACTGATAAATGACGTGATGCTATAAAAGCTAAATACAGATTTGCTTGATTATTATTTGTTGATTGTTTTACAGATGATTGTTGTAATCGACGATAATTAACACCATTATATGGACGATGTTGAGAATTTGTACCATGAGAACTTATTTGATTACGACGAAGAGTTAATTGTGGAGCTTGAGGAGTTGTTGATGTAGCTAATTGTTGATGTGTAGCATATAAATATGGAGATTTAAGACGATTATGAGAACTTTGTTGATGTCGTTGTTGATCGATTGGAACAAGATTTGAATTTGTAGATAAACGAAGAACGTCTAGACGAGCTTGGATTTCAGCATCTGACGTAACACGACGAACCGGTATTGGAGATGGTGGTGGTTTTAAATGAGTTGATACAGGATTAGCTAATGCTGGAGTTGTAGCAGATAAGCCAGCATTTGCCGTAATTGTTAATGGATATGCATTTGTAGTATGTGTTGCTTCCTCTGAACGGCGACGATATTTATCTATTTTTTGTTTTATTGGTGCTTTAATATTATTATTTGTACGCCGTTGATAAAGTTGACCTCAAAAAGACCACATAAATGTATTTAAAAAATATGTGTACAATGTAAAAACATTGACTTACCAGTACTCGTTCGTTCTTTTGTGACTGCTTCACTGACATAAGGAATTTCTACTTGTATGTTTGGTGCAGCTGATCGAAGTCTATTTGATAATGTTAAACCATTTTGTTGTTGTTGTTGTTGTTGTTGTTGTTGATTATTATCATATGGACTTGTTGAGTTTCGAGTATCAGCTGCACTATCAATTGACTCTTTTTGAGATGCAATTGTTTCTTTTATAGTTGTTGCTTGATTAATACCAATTCCATATTTATTACTTTCATGACTTGGTCGTCGTGATTGAGGACTGGATGGTAATATTAATTCATCAATTTCACCATTAGAATTCATAAAATTTTCTGTTGATCGTTTTGAAAGTGTATTAAATATAGATGACATTGATGCAGATGCAGGACGGCCATGACTTTTTGGACTAGTATTTGTTAAAGGTGTTTTAGAACGAGGAGTAGATTGTAGACCATCATATAAATGATTTTGTCGTTCAACAGGACCAACTGCATCTCGAATTGATGGTAAATGTGCTCCATAATTATATTCAGTTGTTGGTTGAATACGATTTCTTGTAAATAAAGTCGTTCGACGAATAGTACTTGATGGTCCTTTGGAACTATTAGTTATATTATTAGCCGACGAAGAATAACCAGGAGATTTTTGATTCTCATTTGTACGTAATTCAGCTGTAGTTTCAGCAACAGCTAAGAGAGAGTAGACTCTATTTAATAGTACATGTTGAAATCCAAACCAAATAATCATACATATAGTGGGTACAAAAAGTATTAAACAGGGTTTATTTTCAGTTTTTATTCTATTGCCGTAAGCGCTAGCAAGAGCTCACACAATAATTCGAATAGAAAAAAAATTGTTTGCAACAGGAATATAAGGAAATAAAAATTATTATAAGACTCCTAAGGATAGAGAATTACGAAAACCAAAATACTAACTTTTCAATACCTTTAACGCGTAAATATAGTTTTGTTCAGATTAGATAGAAGGATAGAATAAATAATTGTCTACAAAATGCAACGTTTCCGATTTCGCTATGACGTTTTTTGGGTTCAGATGCAGCAATTTGATTGAAGATCAAAAAATTGCTTGTCTATCGGAAATAATAAAAAACGAATTTAGGAACTTCCAAAAGATGGTTATATCTCAGCTAAAAAACATTGCTGAGAATTCGAATATATTTCATTTTGTAAACAATGATTTACTTTATTCTTCTACGTAGTCCAAACAAAACTATATTTATGCTTTCCAGGTATTGAAAAACTAACCTTTTAGTTTCCTGGAGTCCTTATCTTTGAAAATAATTTTCTCTACTTGAATCACTGGTTGAACTTTTTCTAGTGCTTAGAATAGTAGAAAAAAATTGAAAATGAATCTTTTTGAATAACTTTGCTATACATTGTAGATGATAGTCGAAAACGATTTTTGTTTTTTTTAATTTAATAATTTTAATCGTGAAAAAAATTTTTGAGTTCATGCACACTTAATAATATTAATTATCACAAACATATGATTAAAACGAGTATAATAATTTACCATTAATGTTAGTAATTATTATTTTCTTTAGCTGGTTTCTCGTTTTATTACATCCTCTAGCTGTTAATTCATATAAAAGAAAACCGAACGATATATAAATATATGTGTATGTGTTTGTACAACAATAGAATTGCATCAATGTAGGTGTAATATATACGTTATACAAAGGTTTCATCTTTCTTCCTGGTTTCTTTTTCTTTTTGCTTTTTCCAAAATCATAATTTAAATGAAAAAAAGAATAGAAATGTGAAAGATTATCGCGAACAATCGAGAACCTATCACTTAACAATATTTACATAAAAATTTCATATACATACAACGTTAAAAAAATTGTAATTTTTCGTGACCTTACATTCAATATGCTGATGACAATGATCATCTTATTTCTTAGTATATGGTTTCAACAAATAAATTTCTGATTATACATGAAAGAAACTAGATTGAGTAAGCTTTTTTTTTTGTTCTCACCATTCTGAAGTTTGCCTTCACTATTAGTTCGTAAAGATTTGTGAAGAATATTCGGTTTACGTTGAATGAGTGTTGAACAATTGATTGGCATATTTGCTGAATTAATTAACGTCAATCAAATAGACGAAATATCTATAGTAACATAAGTGATGTTAAAATGTAACAGTGAATATATAGTGGCGAGTATCTTTATGTAATGAAGAATAAGTAGTTGTAGTAGCAACGCAAATTTTCTTTCAGAACAATTGAAAAGAGACAGAAGGAGAAAAAAAACTTTCATTCTCTTGTCACACTCAAAGTCAAACATCTCTATCCAGTACCATTCGTTCGCTTATTCTTTCTCTCTCTCTCTCTCTCTCTGTCCGTTTTTTTACTCTTTCATCAAGTGCTGTTGATCAGATTTTGGTAGTTAATGTCTCTAATTTTTTTTAAACATCGATAAGAAAAACATTGCATAAATAACCAACACATATTCAAGTACTTGATTAATGGATTTAACCTGTTGTTCGATTATTGATAAGAAGGAAAAAAAAGCATCTTAATATAATTATGTCCAAAATTTTTTTTTCTGTTGTTTTCGTTTGAGAATTCACGTACTAGCAACAAAGAAAATAAAGAGACAAACAATTTATTAGTTGTTCACTTGTGCAATGTCTTGTTTGAAAGACAAACATGATAACAATAATCATAGAAAAGCATTTGACAATTTTGCATCTTATGAGAAAAAAAAGAAACATTTTTAAACTATGTTATTGTTCAATATATGACAAGTAGCGTCGATAAGCAGCCGACACTAATTGACGAGAAATAAATACAACATAAATTATGTTCTATGAGTACGAATATTCCAGGCTATCAGATATTTTTTTTTCTTGAAACGAAAGAAGTATATAAAGTTATTTTTGTCTTGGCTATTGCTGACACCATATTATCAACAATTCATGGTTATGCATTTGTTCTTTCTTTTTTTGACAGATACATATATGAATAGTTTTAGAGTAGGAACTAATTATACAAATAAAATATGACACGAAAACATGAAGTATTGATAAATCGATTGATTGTTTTTGTAAATACACTGTTGAATAGTATAATTATTAATTGGTCATCGAATACCAGAGAATGTCATAGAGTGATTTTCCGTGTTCTGCTCTGACTTGTGAAGAACATTATCAATCATGTCATCCTGTTTTTCAAAGCACAGGATAGAGTATCAAAAAGTTCGTCCTGGCACGACCAAGGATCTTCATATGTTTCACTCGCATGACGAGCTTTTCATTGTTCTTTGACAAGAAAAAAAAATTGTCTATATATGAGGTACGATGTTAAATATCATAGACGTACTATTTATACAAAAAAAAACATTTACTATATATTCATATTAATCAACTTTATCATATATTAAACAGCAGAAATAAAATGAACAATAAAAAATATATTTGACATACATACGATGTACAAAAAAAACAATAAAATAAACATAAATATACAAAATTCAAAACGTAATCAATATAAACAAGTTAAATAATGGAAAATGATAAGTTTTCTCGGATTTCTCGCATGAACAATACAATAATATGTTATTAATTTAGACTTGGTAATGAATGTATTCGTCTTTAACTAAAGACAAACCAGTTGGACTGAATAATCTTTCCACTGCAGCACTAGTCGCTCCCATAGCATGTACTCGTCGAAATATTATTCTTGATAATAATGAAAAATCATGACGACTTTCACTACAAGACCAGAAATTCATTGAGTTACAATCAAAAACATGACTTAGAAAACGTGTCCTATGATGTTCTCTATTGTATATTCCATTGATTACATGCTATAGTTCACTGTGTGACTTTGAATTCAATTATTATTTTACATATTGAGAGTATACAATTGGAAATATGACTGATAAAAATGTATTTGCTAGTCAAACGAAGCTTATTATCATTTTTATATCTGTTTAGAAAGCAAGAAAAAAGTGTTTCATAAAAACGAATGTGAGTCGTTCAATCGACTTGTACAAATCTATTTTTGCATGATTATATTTTTGGATGCTTCTCATACGTTTAATCATTTCATGATGACAGTACACAAATGTATAAAAATCATCGTATTGAATTTTTCTGTTTAATAGAATCATGAATTGGTGTGGACGTCTGCTTTCTGTGACTGAATATGCCTTCTACTAATACATTTGAATAGAAGATTGAATAAACGTTGGTACTTTGCTTTGATCACTATCATACAATGTGTGTATAATTCTTGTGAATTCTGCCTCTTGAATTTCATTTTTGTCTATACCTTTAAAGAATGAATATCCACGAGCTCAAATAGAAAAAATCATTGATTTTTAACTAAAAGATGATTTTGGGATAATCTAAAAAACTCTGCATGGGGTACAATGCGCAGCCCTGATATGATTTGATCAAAAAGAACAATTCACAATCACAACTTGGACTAGAGAATACAGTCAACAAGATCTACAATGATCTATCAGCAAATATTATTCAAGAATATACTAAAAGAATTCAAGTCGCATATCGATATTTCCAATTAGCAGTTGATATTTTGTTATTTGTAGTACAAGGGACTACTATCGTACTATTCCTGTATATATATAAATCTGCATAACAGTGTTTTAACCATAATCTCTATATTTACATGTTTTGTCAAAAGAAAACAATTTACAGTCCATTTGTCATTTGTAGATACTACATATTTTTCGTGATTTAAGCAGCTTCCATTAACATATAGCTTATCAACATTTGGGATAGAACTTTTAATCGCCAGTTGTAACTGTTCGTGTTATTAGAGTTGAAAAAAAGGAAAGTCAAATTTTAAATTTCTTTAACTATAAACAATGAAGTGCTTCTTCATTTCTCCAGCATCTAGCAATTTTACAACTCGAAACAGCAGCTTTCGCTTTTATCATCACCCATAGAAAGTTCTAGCTATTACGAGCATGCTCACTCTTGAATACGGAAAGCTAAAATGATTCTATTTTTTCGATAGTCATGAACAAAGGCAACTCTGGTCTTGACTTAACCATCTTTCATTAACATTAATCACCTCAACATCGGTTTTTACAACCACAAATGCTATCGTTCGTCACTTTACGGACTGTTTTCCGTGGGTAAAATTAGAAGAATCTCCATATTCACAAACTTTACTCATATGTTTTCATGACCTCCGCTGGCTGCGTTGAATAGATGAAAGTTAAAGTATTTTTGTTTCTACATAGAGATGAAGAAATCGATGTTGCTTCACACCTTCGTTACTCACCGTAACATAAATCTCATAAACATTCACTTTTTGCAAGCGCCGATTGCATTTCTAGACTCTTCTGATTACCAGCGTTAAAATATATTGGTGCCATGAGCTTTCGTTCATATAGGCGCTAATCACAGATATACTCTCGTGAGTGAACATTCCCAATTGTACAATCGCTTTTTGATTGAGTATATGCTCAAACGATAGATCTTAATGAGCGATTAAACACCCTAGTATATGCGATATCTTAACTAAACATGTTCTAATCCAGCTCAAATTTTTATTAATGGTGAGGCACTCAATATTGATTAAGATTCCAGAGTTTGAAGATAAATCAATGTTTTTTATCGAAGATATAAATCTGCTTGACATACCGATTGATTTTTGAAAAAAACAAGGTGCGGTCTTGCTCAAAGATACAAGTCTTGCTTCATTTGATACTTTCAATCAACATTGTTAATAAGAATTCGAAAAAAGAATTCGTGAACTGTTCATCTTATGATCTATTTTTAGTGACACTTCTATGAATCAGACTAGAATCAATAAAACCTGGGAAAGTGCAAGAAACCATTGAATCCGTGGAAGTATTTGTTGTTAAAAAAATGTTCAAAACATAATATATAGCTGTGACAGCTGTTTGTTTCACTTTACATATCATCATCTTTTCAACCACATTAGTACACAATTACCTCTTTTTGCTATTTCGATCTGTAAAATGTGTAGGCAAGATATATACATCTTTACGAAAATTGATTTTAGGATATTAGAACCATATGTTCTATGATGAAAGTACGCTAATTCATTTCTCTAATTCTTATTAACTAAAGCACACACAAATGAGCTAACATTTCCATATGTATGCTAACTATAAAGTAAATACGCACTGAAAGTATCAGATGAATCAACAGTTACATCTTTGAATCAGTATTGAGTCCCTTAATATTGATAATAATTTGAGTCAGATCAAAGCATATTTAGTTAAGATATCGAATATACTAGGATGGTTGAAAAAAAAACATTATAGTAACGAAAAAAAAACATATTAAACAGTTAACTGATAAACAAAATTCGTCAAACCAACAATAATATCATAACCTTTAGGTGTACGAAATAGTCTTGTATTTATGTACACGAATTCAAGCAAGAATATGTTCTATGCAATCAATGTGAAAATTTACTTTTTTTATAAATCATCTTCTCCTTTTAGTTCATTGTCTAAGCATATTCGTAGCTGTCAAAATAAAAACAAACGATAGTTTCCAATGCTCAAACAAATATTCATCAGCTTTACGCATCTTGAAAAAAAGAACCACCTATTCCATATCGAGTTAAAGAGGACATTGAAGTACCTTGTGTTGAATTTTCTGCATTTGACTGTCAACCATTCAAAATAATTAATCATATCGGTTTTAAAAATCTTGAATAATAATTTTTAATGTTGGTCGATACTTATCTATAGAGAGCTGCGGGTCCACGTTTCTGTCGATTAGACCCGGACCCAGTTCTGTAAGGACTCACTGCTCCATATAAAGTTGAAACTGAAGAAAAGAATAAAAGCCAAATACCTACATGCATTTTGTACAAAGCATCTCTACTACATGGTACAAGGAAACAAAGAAAGGAAGAAAGAAAACAATGAATCATACTATAACGCATTTAAATTTCTATACTTACTCTTTGATTCAATTGACTGTTAATAAATTTTATTTTTTGATCCTTAAATTTCTTAGCAAATCGAACTCATCACTTACTCACTATGTCATTTACTTTACCGATCGATTACTTTGTTCACGTTTTACATTATCTGATAGCTTTCAATTTCTA